CTGGGAGAAATGTGCCTTCACGTTTCCCGACGGACAAGTTTGTACTTCGCGGCCAGCCAAGCTGCACCAACAGCATGTATCCGGCAGACAACATGAACTTGGACAATTCGTACACCAGAGACAATGGAGGTCTGACGATAAGAGAGACTGGATCAACGATATCCAGCAGAGATTCGTGGAGAGCTACGAGGCCATCTTCATCCACCAAGGCTCAGATCACACGTTACCCCCCGAGAAAAGGCTCATTTCGAGGAGGGAATGCGGGCACAACAACTACGCTCTCATCTGGAAGCATATCAAGAGCAACAAGACCTGTCTATCCTGTCTTCAAGCAGTACCCGACCATGTCCTGAGTTGTGGGCACTCGTACTGTGCTCGCTGTGTGCAGGAGCTGGGTGAAGTGAGCCACACCACCGAGTGTGCTTGGACAATGAAATGCAGGCTGTGCTGGGAAGCCCGAGGTGGCAACCTGCACCTTGTCCAGCTCAGGCCTCGATGTGCAGGAGTTCGCATTCTGACCCTGGATGGTGGTGGTATCAAGGGCATCGTCGAGCTGGCGCTTCTCCACGCGTTACACAAGTCAGTGGGACTGAACCTGCTGCCGAAGGACATGTTCGACCTCATTGTCGGGACCTCCACAGGTAAGAACGAAACTCCGAAATTCCAAGCCTAACCTGTGTCACTGACGGAAAACAGGAGGTATCATCGCGCTGGCACTCGCTATGTCGAATGAGTACGACTCCATCCCGAGAATGATGGACTTTTTCGCAGACATCTCCAAAAAGACGTTCTCCAACAGCCTCATCAAGAAGATCACCACATACGCGCTTATGATCTTTCGGCTGTCACAGAGCGTCTTCGGCTCGGACGCTCTCCGCAAGGCGCTGCAGGAGCACTTCTGGCCAAAAGACACAGCCCTCTTTGCCCCTTCTCTGCATACCGGTCTCATGTCCTCTGGTACACGGGTTGCCGTAACGTCAGCCAAGGATATGGGTCAGACCGCCTGCTTGATAACGAGCTACAATCATCCCTCAAGCTCTGTTAACAACGACAGTACCAACACCCTGGTCATGGAACGTGAAGAGACCATTGACAAGGACATGAAGATATGGGAAGCTGCGCTGGCCACATCCGCGGCTCCTTTCTACCTCCTTCCCTATGAGAAGCCTGAGACCAAGAAGCTGTACGTCGACGGCGCGGTATACGCCAACTGTCCGGCCGGAGTGGCTTACTCGGAGATGGAACAGATATGGCCTGGGGAGGAAGCCCCGCTGGATACCCTTGTTTCTCTTGGAACGGGGGTGCAGAAGGCCAAATCATCCCAAGATGTCCCTTCTCTGGTGAACATGGGGTTCTTCGTAAGTTTGCGGGCCGTCTTCCAGCGGCAGATCGACAGTAAGAGTGGCTGGGCCACCTTCCGGGATTCCACCGCCCCTCCTGCCATCCGATGTCGACTGAATCGACTGGATCCGCCTCTGAGACAGGATGAATATGTCGAAATGTATGATTGGCAGAAGATCGACGCACTCAAGCACGCTGTGGGACAGTGGACGGGAGGTGAAGCGCAGGAGCAGCTTGACGGCATCGCCAACACCTTGCTCGCCGCCATGTTCTTTTTCGAACCAGACGGAGAGGTAGCCTTCGGGCACCACAACGAAACAAGTGCAAGAAACAACAACCTATTCGACCCTAGCCGGGATATACTCCCTGGCTCTATCAGGTGCCGCCTCGTGCATGGATCCCCTGAACTAAAGAAACTCCTCAGCGAGAAGGTGGAGTACTTTGGCTACTACCACCTACCCCTGACCACCAACGGAACAAGTACGCCGGACGTCCTCCAGCAGGTCTCCCGTGTCCCAGAATCAATGTGGCAGCGCATTCGAATGAATATCCGTGGCAGAGAGGCTCGCCCCAGTGAGATGCTGTACCCAGAGGTTGTTGGAGAAAGTGTGGTGCATAAGTTTCGACTTCCGTATACATTTACCGTCAAGAAGGGGAGCGCTGGCGGACTACACGTTCTTGCTGTGAAGCTGGCCAGGTGTGAGGGGTTGGTACCTATCAGCGGATTTCCAAGTTCTCATGCGGACTTAGTCCGGCGGAGTAAGATGAAGTGGTTGCAGTAAGACACACGTGCCATTGTTCGACCAGAATAGCCATTGTCACAAAAAAAACAAGGCTTCAAATAAACGGCGTCCTAGTCAACTTCGCTTCTGCCTGTCCAAGACACCACTATTTCTTCTCCAGATGCAAGGATCCGCAGCTCCAGGCCACATCCCACATGTGCAACGATGTAGGGTCTCGCAGCTGCTTCAAGCCATATCTCTCTCCTTTTCTCCTCTCATATCGGAGGAGCGCTCCTTCTCATCCCACCCATCGACTCCTGTAACCTCCGGCACTAATTTGATCCCATCCATCCTTGCATGGAGTTCCACCTTACACACTCCCGCATCCTCAAGCCCATCACTCTTGCAAACAAGACTGAACCTCCGTATCCCTGCCCTGTGCCAGGCTACCGTCCATTTCTTGACGTCTCTCAACAGGGTCGTCATTCTAGTAAGCGTCTTGCCATTGGCTACCTCCCACGTTTCTAATGAATTCTTAGTATCCAACACTCCTTTCCCATCCGGGACAAAGACTCCTCCACATCTCAAAGCCGTATACACTCTCCTCCTTCTCGCAAAATACCTCTGCACTTCCGGCGCCATCTCACCAGGCCGATGAACACTCTCCGCCCTCACGTCAACCAGACATGCCGCCGGCACCTTGCCACCAGAATGATGAATATGCAGACCGGAAGAGGAAGTGATGAAATGCGCCGAGACCTCGGCATCCCGATGCTGCTTCCCCTTGCATTTCTCATCACACAGATATCCATCCACGACAGTCTGCACCACGCACCTCAACCCCCCAAATTCGTACCCTTCCACACGATGGTGACTAACCCTCCCGTCCCCGTCCCCCTCCTGCCTCGCGAACCGACAAATAGCGGTCTTGAACGCCCACCCCCAACACCCCATGGCATGGCCATAACTGGGATCCCCCGCCCAACCCGCCAGGAACATCGTGTCTCCCCGTAACTCGATGTCGAAGCGATTGCTCAACCTGCGTTTGTTCTCCACCAGGACGAAGAGCTTCCGCAGGTTGGTGGCCGTGGTGACCAGCTCCGTCTCGGCCAGGTTGAAGTCTGGGCTGGTGAGGTGGATGGCGTGCAGGAGCGGCTCGAAGGAACGGTCGTAGGTAGGGAAGTTGGGGGTGGTAAGTGAGAGCGCTATACTCAAGGGACAGCTCGGGTAGTCGAGGAGTGGTGGGTGGCCTGGGATTGAGATGGAGCGAGAAGAGAGCTTGTTGAAAGACCCTAGGTACTCTCCTCCGCGTATTGTTGCGGGGGTTGTTGTTGCGCTGACGTTGCCGTGAGTCGTCAAGTCTGTAAGGAGAAGTAGATCCGTGGTCATGGCTCTGGAGCGGTTGGCCGTCCAGATATTGTTCTCGACTTTGGTGCGGTGGCGGGCGTGATCGAAGAGGCAGACTCCGCGCTGGAGATAAGAACACGTCGGGCCTAGTCGACATGGCTTCTTGCCTGGACCGGCTTTCCAGCGATGCATAAGGCTGGGGTCGTGCGAGAAAGAGCAGGAAGAGAAGCCACATGGCTTGTTGTTCATCAGATACTTGCACGGGTAGACTATATTTCGACCGTCTAGACGAGTGCCTGGGGCGTTTATCTTGGATGGGAAGGACATGGCCGTTTACTTCTTGACACGGCCGCTTCTTGATCTTATGGGGATGGCTCTAGGACGGACCAAAGCCGAGTCCGGATGATTGCTGTATTGCGCTTGCTGCTGGGGCTTGTCATTTTCGCAAGAGACCGCTACAACCCGTGGCTCTTATACTTACCGCATTATGGATGAATTGTACATAGCAATGAGGAGGAGGAGGACACAGTCATGCTCCCAGGACTCACTATGGATGTTTGCATCTTATGTCTGGCAGGTCAGAAGAGGGACTCGAGGTCTAGTCATGACTTTGTGCGGGCATGTTTACCCCTGAGTCCTGTTCGAGTTTTGAATCCTCCGATCGCATACTGAATCACTTCTGGTAGCCTTGTCGGCATGTCAACGCGAACCGACGCAGTCTAGGGATCTGCTAGATGAAACTCACTATGCGCATGGTGTAGCTGGCGAAATAGGAAAGCATTCGGAAGCCTTGAAACAGTCCTGTGAGTTGTCCATCTTTCTGTGATTCGGACCAACACCGGTGAACAACGGATCCGGTGACAAGAGGACATAGGAAAGTGAAGAAGAAAATAACGAAAAAAGAGACGGGCCGCTCCGGGATTCGAACCCGGGACCTCGCACAGAGTCTTTGGAAGACTGGGAGTCAATTTCCCGCTGAAATTAATGTTAATGATGTGATTCGAACGTAAGGCCTTTCGTGGTAGAGGTAAACACTTACAAGCGCGAATCATACCTCTAGACCAAGCGGCCTTGGTTGGTTGGCGAAAATAGCTCAATTGTCCGTGATGAAACTCCAGGGTGGGGTTTGTGGACGGGTGTTGAGTTACTTGGTGCCCTATCGGGAACGAGTTAGTGGGGAGAGATTGGGGTTCCACCAGTGAGCAGTCACCCAAACGGCAACGGCAAGGTAGCTGTATCAAGGCCTCGACACAATAACACACACTGTTAAATATGGTGGACGTATCGAGCTACATGGACCCATACTCTAATTACCTAGGTACCCAGATGTCGACAACATAATCTACCCCTATCTGATGCTTACCACAGCAGACGACTAGAATGGTAAGATCTTACATGTGCCGAACCCTCGTTCTCAACCGCCAGCCATTATATGCGGAGGATATCTTGTGATAAGGCTTGAAGAACAAAAGTTAGGGAAGCCGAACTTCGAAGGATTATACTTCAACATGGGTCGGTAATGGTTGGTAGTCAAGCACCAGCATGAGCACTTCATGACCATGAAAAGACATTGCCAAAACTGCAAAAGTTTGGACGAACGGGGAATTGAACCCCGGACCTTCTCTAAGAGCACATGGAATGCGAAAGAGAAATCATACCCCTAGACCATTCGCCCGTTACTGTTCATTCAGGTGGCTTTTGTTAGCATGAGCCGTTAAGCGTGTACGCCATTTTGTCAATGCAGGATTGCAAGGGAGCAAATGCTTGCATATAGGAGGTATAGTGGGTAAACAATTGTACGGCAAGTAGCGTGTTCCTTTGTGAAGGGGTGTACTCATAACATGGCTAAGGACGTGGATGTGACCGCAGGCTGGGAAGTACACCACCAACTCCCAACTTCACAGAAGACCTCAATAAGTATTAGCAATTAGGTAAGTAAGGATGCTTCATTAAGATACTACTAGGACAAGGTCAACCCATTGATGCAGACTTTCCAAAACAGATGCTTCCCCAGAGAACACTCGTCTCTTCACGTAAAAGACACGAATCAAGGCTTTATATAGGTACAAGAAAAGCAACCCCAGAAGCACACAGCAGGGTATTCGCATCGTTCGCACAAAGCCAGAACACCTGCCCAGATATATGTTTTCGACGTCTATCGCCACTTATAAGAGGAACAATCCAGCAACGGCAACAAGCGCGGCAAACGCACTAGTGCCCAGTGTCCGCTCCACGCGGACGCCGGCACTCTGTCCACTGTTGCTCGATGTGGTGGAGGACCCTGAGCTACCGCAACCGTCTTGAGAAAAGCCAGTGGCCTGGCAGTTGGACGGCTGAACAGAGGAGCTGCTGTCGCCACCTGACGTGCCGCTTCCGCTACCGCTGTCGCTGTCGGCCGGAGCACTACCCGGACCGGAAGCCGTGCCGCCCGGGATGGTGGCCGCAGTTACAGTCGGAGAGGAAGCAGAGGCGGTGCCGCTGCCGCTGGTGTCGCTACCACCGGCATCCATGTCCAGACCAGTACCGGCGAACGACTTGAGTGTCGTGCGGTTTGTGCCGTCAACAATGGTATCATTGGTCGCCCTGTAATCGGTGTAGGTGTAGGAGGTGTGCAAGTTCGTGCCAGGGGCGGACTTGGCGTTGTAGCACTCTACCGTGACCTCGCCGAACGTGGCAAAATCGTAGCCGAACTTTTTGATATCGTCAGAGTTCCAGTCGATTGGTCCACCGGCCCAGTCAATGGTTCCCTGGGCGTTACTGTCGGCACCACCGGGCCAAATGGAGAGCTGGACACGGGCGGGGGTTTGAGGGTAGTTCCATTGGTTGGCTGTCGCGTTCCAGGTTTCTGAGCGCTTCTTGGTGCGTCCTACTTTGCCATCCACGAGCCAGGTGATTGTGTCAGGCGTCCATTGAATCTCGTACTCGTGGAAGTTTTCGTATGTGTCGGACAGGCTTGTGATGTTGCCGCTGTTGACATCTGCAGCAAGGTCAGTCTACCGTGTCTCTGGAGGATGATTGGGTTCTTGGCGGGATATAGCTTACATTCTGGGATACCCTGGAAGTAGTAGTTGGTCTGCGCAACTGATAGATCGGCACCCACCCACTCGTAGTCAATCTCATCCTTCACGTCACTAAGCAAGATGAAAGCTGTGACGACACCAGCCCCGCGAGAGGTCTTCACCTTGGCTTTGACGTTTCCGTACCACATGTACGTAGTTGACGCAAGCACAGTGCCGACCGAGTGTGCGGGCATGGTGAGGAGGACATTGCCGTTGAAAAGTAGAGGTTCGCCCTGGGCAACCCAATCGGCCTTGCTCGAGTCACCGAGGTATTTGGAAACGTCAACTATGCCATCCAACGAGTCCATCTTGTACGTCTTGCTCTGGCAGACGGGCGCTGGCACGCACGAATCCAGCGAGAAGCTCATTCGGGGATCGCAGCCACCGAGACAGTATGCGCCAATTCCGCACTGGCCGTATTCTAGAAGACGGATTCCCGATGTCAATTTCTTGGCCAAGAGCTGAAAGCGGTCACTCTGCTGTGCGACGCTGTGTCGGGCGCGAACAGGAAAGCCCGCAAGTGCGCGACATCACGGGGGTTCGACCACTTACGTGAGCAGCATGGCGTCTCCTTGGGGCACTTCTTCTCTAGGGAGCAAGTAGGTGGTTCATCTGCGGCGAAAACGGCCGTGGAGGCTCCCAACAGGGCAACGCCCAAAGACAGCATTGATCGAACCATCTTGGTTTTGTAGAGTATCGTCGTGACTTCAGATTTGGATGAGCTGAACAGGTTTTGTAGTCTTGGCCAGATAGTGGTCCGGGACGCTGAAGAGTGCGAAACCGTGGACAGGCTGCAATGCTTTGACACCAAGATCCTGACGAGGAAAAGGGTCTCGATTATGCGCGCCTGAAGTCGAGCGATGATTCGACTGACTGATCCAGTGACTGTTGTTCGACCTAGCGTGACCAGCTAGGTCGTTGTTTGGGCGTCACCGTGGACAAGAAAATCGAATGTGTGGAAATTTCCCCCAAGGGACGTATGATGCTCGCAAGGGATGATAAGTCGTCCGGTGGCAGTGTTGCAGTGAGGCAGTACTACGTCAGGTGTGGAGGAGAGGAAGGACAGCCTAGAGAGACAAAGCAAAAGCGAGTGTGGTTTAAAGATAGACACAAATGCACCAGACTAGACCAGTCGTCCGCTATGCTGATGAGCAGAGCAATGGACAACGGCAATGCAAGATAGAAAAGGGTTGTTATGTTGTTGTGGATCAACAGGAACCGGAGAGAAGGGGGCGCGAATCTTCGATCCACTCACTGGACCACTTCCCCCATTCCAACCAAGCATTGGATGATGGGTCACCATTGCGCTGCCAAATTCAGCATCTTGCTTGCAACCTCGTATTGGCAAAGTCGCCTCCACCGCACTTCACGTGGTCCTGTGCGTCTCGTATATTGTGTGCAGTACTTCTGGACAAGAGAAGACCGTGGAGCCCTGTACTCAGGAACAATACGTCTTGCTCGTCTACTGTTTACTCGCGAGAAGCACTGCATCGTGATCAAAATACACATTGCAATGCATGATGAGGGCCAATCTGGGATGAACCCGTTCCCCAGACAGACGTCCATGACGCACAAACCAGCCAGGGGGTCGCACAGTATGAGTGGTGACACCCGCAATAGCCGAAACCCCAGAACTGTCAGTTTATAGTTTACCTACCCTACAGTGCCACGAAGCGTATCGGAATCTTCACTCGAAGGAGGGGACCTAGAGGGTAATATCGCCAAGGCAGTTTGGTATATTACGAGATGTGCAAATAACATTTGTTTTATATCAGACCTCTGGGACAATTCCGGTGACGCCGCGGAACTCTTCGCACCTAGTCGTCAACCACTTGCCTCCAGGTACGTAGCTTGACACATATAGCATCAAAAACATCAATATGCGGCATACGACTATAGACCAAGCAACGCATCGTCCTCCAAGGTCAACCAGCCGAGACTCTACACTAGTATGCCAGATATCAATATCCAAGCGTAATGATTCATCTGTCGCTATAAATGTCCCTAGCCATGTTGACCCAAAGTTGCGGGACACCTCTAAAGGCCACACGAGAACATGACCTGGGACCTCAAACTTGCCTGCCAGTAATCTCCAATTCATCCATAGCAGTAGGCAAGTGACGAGTGTCGTCGACTACCTATAACAGACTCGATAGACCCAGTAGGCGCCAGGCAAGTCCGCACATAATGCAAGTTCAGCCTCACCAGCCGCACAGCGTAGCATACACGTGAAGCGCAACCAGCCCTTCCCAACCTACAGTACTCTATCGCAAACGATCCCACAGGTAGAGGCCATAATTTGTCTGCATTTGGTGAAGTTCCTCTCATAATACCCCGGTCACCAGCCCATCAAAGCCCCGGCATCTAATGAAGTGTACCCCTTTGCCCCTATCATTAAAGTCACTTGTACTCAATAGCCCCTGAGTTGGAACCGTTTGACAGAACATCGAGCAGAACCCAAACTAGTCTCCCGATCCCGACATGACGAAAAGAAGGCTCTGACCCCCCGTTACATCCTCCGGCAAGCAAGCAGAAGGAGAAACCAGCAACCACCAGGCCAGGATGACGCTTCAGCTTGCTGCGGTTTGCCGCTACAATCAATTCGCTGTTACAAATCTCATACTACTCTGAAAATGATTCTTCACGACACCTGGTGTTGCATGTTACTAGCAACGCCTTCGGAGCGCACCCTCTCCAAGAGTGAAAAAGCTTCTCGCTGATGGGTAGCAGAGAGAAGACAATATGCCAGTATAGGTCTCGGCCGCGGTGCCATTGTTGCCCGAATGAAGTTATTCGCAGTGTTACCGCGTCTTCGCTGGCGGAAACAATTCTAAAGAGGATCCAACAGTCAGCAACACACTAGATATTACACGAGTTCGTTTCACCATGGTCATTCATACCTGGGAAGTGTTCTTTGGCAAACTGCTCACATGCCTACCAGGAAAGACAAAGTTAGATGTAGCCCAAATACCCTTATTTACCAGGGAAGAGGGCTGATGAACTCACCTTAGCCGGCTTCTGTACTTTCTGTCCAATGACCTTCCATTTGCTGTTCTCGTACTCCTTGATCGCATTGAGAAGCGCGGTGCTCTGAGAAACAGACAGCGTCAGCCAAGATCGGCATGCAGACCAAGATACCGTGGGAAGATAACGGGTCGAAGAGCTTACCTCGTCACCATTAAACTCGGCATAATGCATGTCCTATAAATGTAACGTGTTAGCATCCCTACACATTTTGTACCAAGTCAATCAAGGGTGTCTACGCGACGTACCTTATACCAGTGCTTCTTAACGCTGCCCTCGGTGCGATTGGGAAACGTCTATGCCATGTCAGTCCGTTCCCTAGCATCAACTCCGCATGACTTGGTAACATACCTTGGCAATCTCTGCCCAACTGTGGCCTTGGTCCCGCATCTGTTTGAGACGCAGCTCCTCTTGTGGCGTCCATGGGGTATTGGTGCGGCTCTTCTTGGCAGGAGGGGGAATCGAAGAGCCATCTCCACCGTCCGCTGAAGTAGGAGCCGGGGGAGTTGGGGCGGGAATGGGCTGAGGCGGTAGAGGGGCAGCCGGAGGTTGCCCTGGAGAGGCCATTGGGGCAGTTGGCGCACCCGGGCCA